GGGATTGGGGAGCCTACTCTTCATTTTCTCTGCTTACCTGGAGCTGCTTGTAGGGGCTGAAGGGCCGTCCCACTGCCAGCCTCCAGGTCCAGGGCCGGTACTCTGAGATCCTTTCTTTTTCGCCCGCAGCATCTCTGAAATGGGAGGGTATCCCTCCTGGTGGAGGAGGCAGCAGAGCCGGGGGCTAAGGAGAGGCCAGGCTCCCAGCTGGGGAAATGAACACCTGGGCTCACCTCTAGCACTTGGGGGTGTTTTGGGGCCTCTCCACTCCCTTCCCGGGTTGGCACCTCCCTGTTTCTTGTTGACTTGGACTTGGGAGAGGAGGCCCTTCAGCCAGAAATCCTGGGTCTATGCTGAGGAGCCCCTACCCACTCCCTGTTAGTTGTTGGGTCCTGCCCCCTCAGGCAAACGGCAGAGCCCCCCGAGCCAGGAGCAGACCGTGGGCGCCTCACGTCCTGGCTTGTGTGGCCTGCTCTTGGCCAGAATTCTGGTTTGGGCAGAAGGAGGAGAAAAGGGTATCACTCACTGGCCTGGGCCCTCGGCGCCGCCGCAAAAGCCCTAGCACGTTCTCCAGCACAAAGAGCAGGAAGAGACCTCCGAGTACCGACAGTCCTGGTCCCAGGTCCTCCTCCGGTGGTCCGCTAGGTCCAGCGTGCTGCACTCCTTGTGCCTGCCAGAGAGGGGGTCAGGGCAGACCCCAGAAGCCCGCGCGCAGGCCACAGCCCCCTCCTGTGGGGGAGGCGGCAAGCCTTCCTTCGCTCTCTACTAGAAGGCAGCTGTGGGCTGCAGCCAGGGCTGGGGAGTGCAGCGTGGGGGCTGACAGGAAGGGGGAGGGAAGCCCTTGGGGACACGGAGGCTGTCCACCTCCGCGGGGTGGGCGGAGCGAGGAAGGGGCTTCACGTACATGTGGCAGCAGGTGGAGCAGCGCGTCCCCACAAAGCGTGCCCACGGCCAGGGCCCCCAGGAAGCCCAACAGGGGCCGCAACAGACGTGGTCCCAGGAGCCGCAGCAGTAGCAGGGAGAGGGGAGAAGGGAGGCTGAGCAGCAGGACTGCCAGGGCACTATGAACCAGGGCTGGGGAGAACCAGGGACTGAAGTTAGGCTAGGGATGGCCGGAGAGCCTCGGAAGCAAGGTGGGGCAGAGATACACTGCAAGGGGAGGCAGCACCCCCAGTGAACCCCCTTGCTTGGCTAAGGGCCCACTCCCTACCAGGACTCAAGGCACCCTGCCACCCACTCTCACCCACTGACCAGACAGAAGATCCCCTGGGGGAGCTGGGGTTGCGGCCTGGATGCAGACACGGCTGTCGATCTGATAAAGCAGGGCTGGACACAGCAGAGCAAACTGATGAGGGGTCAGAGGAGCAGCGGGGCTCAGGCCGAAATTGACCAGCAGCTGGGAGCCATTCAGACACTAGGGGAGTTGAGTTGGAGGTCATACATTGGGGCATCGCTGAGAACCGTGACTCAGATCTTTAATGTCTGTCCTACTGCATGGACTCCTGGGTCTCTCTCCTGGGTCCCCTTTGCTCACCCCGGCAGGTGCATTGGGGATTAGGGATAGTTCTGTATGATCAGTGTGTGTTAATTATTAGTGAATATTCAATCCAGTGCAGATATTCAATTCAACACAGATTGGGGGCCAGTAAACAATGCCACCATCTCCCTCCCTCCCGAGCCCCTGATGATTTCATCGATTTGGTGAGGGAGTTGGTTGGACTAGAGCCCTCCATTGCAGAATCTTAGAAGGGAAAGAACTCGAAATGCCATCCAACCTTCCTTGCAACAGCCCTGTCACATGTTCATCCAGCCTTGGCTTGAATGCCCCCTGTGAAGGGGTGCTCACCCTCTCCCAGCCCGCTTCAGAGTTAGCTTTTGCTGCCCTCTGGTGTACATGGAACAAGCCCAGTTCCTGGCTGAAGACAGCCTTCCTTTCCCTGCAGGTTTCCTCTCCAGACAGCCAGCCCTAAATCCTACCCTGGGCTGTTTCTCTGGATTCTCTGCTTTGCCAAGTGTGGTCCCTAAACCAGGTCTTGGAGATTTGGGGGTGGGCTCATGTGCACTGAGCCCAGAGGAACCGTATTCCACTACTGGAATAACATGCCCTAAGATCACACCTGGACTGGGTTTTTTAAATTAACTGTATTAAATTACTCTTGAGGGGCGCCTGGGTGGCTCAGTCGGTTAAGCGTCTGCCTTCAGCTCAGGGCATGATCCCAGGGTCCTGGGATCGAGCCTGCGTCAGGCTCCCTGCTCAGCGGGGAGCCTGCTTCTCCCTCTCCCCCTTCTCCTGCTCTCTCTCTAATAAATCAATAAAATCTTTTTAAAAAATAAATTACTCTTTAAACATTTCAGGCCATCCAAATCCCATGGTCCTTCCCCCGCACCTAGAGATCATCAGACTCACATCCTCATTCAGATGGTCAGCCAATGAATGGTCCAGCAGCAGGAGCCTGTGAAACAGGTCCAGGCCCGAGGGCGCTGGCCCATGGGGTGATGCTGGGGCCTTTGGCTCCTCTGGGTCACCCCACCCCGAGGGACCCAAAGGCAGTCCCGCCCAGACATCCACACTCAGCTCGGGGTCCTGTGATCTGGAATGGATAGGATAGCAAGTCAGACTGGCTCATGTTCTTTAAGAAACTCCCCTTGAGGGGCGCCTGGGTGGTGCAGTCTGTTAAGCAACCGACTCTTGGTTTCAGCACAGGTCATGATCTCAGGATCATGAGATCCAGTCCTGAGTCGGGCTCTGAGCTCAGCGTGGAGTCCGCTTAAGACTCTCTCTCTGCCCCTCCCCACCCTGCTCGCTCACTCGTGCTCTCTCTCTCTCAAATAAATAAATCTTTAAAAAAGAAAGACACTCCCCTTGAGGCTCCTAGGGCGCTTTGGGGGGAAAGGAAGGAACAGCCACTAGCTGGAGTTCCTGGGACCCAGACACCGTGGAATGTCAGTTCTAGGAGGATCTGAGAATTGTCGATTTATAGGAGGGTCTAGGAATGGGGGGGGGTGAGAGTGAGAATTTGGGGGGGGCGCAGCCAAAAGTGCCACAAATTGGGAGCCAAGTCAGCCTACAGACATTGAGCACTGGGACTAAGAGCAAGGAGTTGAAGGGCCCAGGGATTTGGAAGAGGGGAGAATTAAAAGGCAGAGAGGCAAAGGGGGCCGTGAAGGAATACAGGGAGTCAGATTTTGAAAAATTTGTAATTCCAGGAATCTGATTTTAGGAAGCCAGAGCTAGGCAACTGGAGACTGATGCAAGCCCTGAGAAGAGTGAGGCATGTGGCCTTTCGGGGTGGGGGAAGGGTCAGTACCTGTGCGTGGAATTGTCTCCCGCTGGGGCCGCAGCTCGACCAGCTGGAGGCCCGTGGTGGTGTCCCAGGCGGAGGGCCTGAACTCGGCCTAGCCCCAGGCTGTGGAGAAGCCGCGCTAGGCCCCCTGCAGTCAGTGTCCCGTTCTCCCCATACAGGCCAAACAGCTGGGCCAGGTAATGGTTCTGCTCCTGCTCAGCAGGGCCCAGGTTGGGGGCTGAGCCCCCTACCCAGCCCAAGGTCATCCACACACACAAGCCAGCCAGCAGATGACTCACTGGGGACCCCATTATTGGGGCAGGGGAATGGGATAGAGGCTCTGGTTCTGGCTTCTATTCCCCTTGGAGCATCCTGAGGATGTGCCCTGGAAGAACAAGGAGGAAGGGCCTGGGCTTCTGCTCTGCTGTCCAGCTCAGGCCCGGGGAATTCTCATTCCCTGGACCATCCCACCTTGAACCTAGCAGCAGCCCCTATTCTAGCCTCCGTTTTCCCTCCCCCTCGCCTCCTTCTGGAGCAGCCTCTTATTTGCCAGTTCCTAGAACACCTTCCTTGACCCAGAATGCCTCCCTCACCTGATCCAGAGCTGACTGCCCATCCTGTCCCCAAAACCCCACCCCGCAATCCTGCCCCACCTCTCAGTCTCCCCTCAGACCTCAGGGCCTCACCCTCACTGGCAGTCTGGGAGCTGTCACTTCAGGTTCTGGGCAGGTCTTACTGTGGACGCCAAGGCGCTCCTGAGTCAGGAAGGGGAGCAGGGCTCAGCCTCCAGGCAGTCAGGTGGAATGGAGGCCACGTCAGATAGAAGGCTGGGATGGACAGCCCCCAACTCCTAGCCCACCTGCCTTGGGGCGGGGTCAGGGAGGGGAGGGGCCAGTGTGGGAAGGCTCACGTCAGAGAACAGTTAATGGTTCACTGGTCTCTGGGGTGGAGGTCAAAGGTCAGTCTTGGCTGGGCCCCTGAGTAGGGAGGGGCCACCCTCTGCCCCTGGAAAAGCCACATGGCCAAGGAAAACCTGAGCCTGGTCTTTTCTTCTAAATAATTCACCCCACTGACCCAGTTGGTACCATTTTAGCCTTTCCCTGCATATCCTCTCACCAGCCCCCCCCCCCACCTTACGTCTGGTACTGGGCTTCCTTCATTTCCAACCCCCATTCCCCACATTTCCTGGGAAAGTGGGATCCGGGGGTCCCTCTGCTGGAAAGGGGGTAAAGAGGCAGGTAAGTGGCAAGCCCAGGTGCGTGGGGAAGAAACCGTTCTTAGCAACTCCTTGTCCCAGCGGAGTAAGAGCCAGAGCTCTGGGAACCAGTGGCCAAGAAAGGGGAAAAGAAGTATCTGGGCTCCCCTCAGATGTCTGACCTGGCTTAAGATTGGGGGAGCACAGTCGTCTGATTCAGGCAATCGTCCAGGGGGTTGAGGTTGTCGTTACCTGACCGCGAGAGACTGGAAGGACGCCCAGAGGAAGGGGGACACAGCCTTCTTGGTTCCAGCTGTGGGGGGGGGGTAGGTAGGCAGGCGGGCAAGGGTCACCTGCAGGGAGGGGGCAGGGGAGGGAACTACCTTAAAGGGGCAGGCCTGCTTTGCTTAGGCCTGGTTACCTGTAACCTGTTTTCCTTCCACCTCCTAGGGATAGCCCACTTTCCCAAATGTCCGACTGCTAACCTCTTCATTTTCCCACAAAAAGCAAAGGAGTCCAGTACAGAGCGTTAACGTTTATTAGGAAGGAGAGATTCAATTCAACTTCCACATCACACACACTAGAAACAGACTGTGACTGTTGTTTCTAAGAGGAAGGAGGGTGGGCAGAAGGCCTTGAATCCCAGGGGATAGGCAGCTTCAGCTGGGCAAGGCAGGGAGTATGGGCTTAGGGTGGATAAGGCCACTGCTCACCACCCCTCCAGTGAAATTTAGTGGCTAAAATACTACTACCTACCCACCCCCACCCCCCCAAAAGCCAACAGCCTAGTAGAAGGCTGTGTGCTCTAGGAGATGCTGGGGCTATGGTGGGTGGCGGGAAGGGAGGAAGGACGTCTTGCTATCTCTTGCTGTTCCTCCGGGTTTCCTTGCCGTTACTGACAGGGTTGCTGGACGGGCCCGGAGGGCCGGCAGGTGTGTGGTTGGGCTGGCTTCGGGTAATTCGGGTGCTGGGGGGATGCGAGGGTGCGTGAGGGGGGTGCGGGCCACCACCAGGGCCTGGTGGGGCACTCAGTCCATTCCCGTTCTGGTTCTCAGAGGCTAGCAGTGGGAGAAGGGGAAGAAACACAGGAATTAGAGAACTGAGGTAGGAGAGAGGTCCAGCCCCAAGGCCTCACTCCCACTCCCAGAGAGGAACACAGTCTCCATCAAGCATAGCTGCACATTCCTGCCAACTGGACCAATTGCAAGGAGTGGAGGTTGTATGCACGGAGCCCCAGAGAAGCCTCAAACAATCATTTGGGAAGTTGCTACATGAGCCCTAGTGTGGTATTTTTCTCTTTTATTCAGCTTTGTATCAGAGAGATCAGACCTAGAATTCGCTGTTTAGTTCTACTCAAGGACCTCTGACAAAATGCCCCTTTAATCAAAAGTCTTTGTAAAACTGGAGAAGCATGGGTAGGGGAAGGGCCCGAAATTTGTGTGTTAAAATGTAAGAAGGATCTTAAAAAAAGGAAAGGGTGGTGGGTATCACAATGATACACACATTTTCATTTTGGAAAATCCAGGTAAGAGTGAGCAAAACAATGATTACTCACACCCCCCAAATAATAAACATTTTTGTGGGTAGCTTACATGTTTGATGGGAGCCAGGTGTGTGAGATGATCTCCCTGAGCGCCCACAACGGTGCATATTACTAACCTTGCCACTCCCACAGTGTTACCGTATGTAGGACTATCTCCTTCATAGACTACCAGCTCCTAAAGACAGGTGCTGTGTTTTATTCCTTGGCAATCCTCCTCTAGACATGCTTGCTAAGTGAAGATAGAAGCCTGCCTCTCATATGCAGAGGGCACTATGAACCCTAAATGGTGTAGAAGTCATAGGCTAGTGGTTCTCCAACCACATCCCTGCTTAAACCCGGCTGCTCCAGACTAAGACACCTGTAGCCAACAGGAAGAAATAATGCCTTTTCCTCAATTCACAGAAAATGTTAGGAGAGTATATAGAAAGTTAAGTTTTCATGCCATCCATGTTTTTTGTTAAGCCTTTGTACCTGTCAGATAACCAAGTGAATAAACATCTGGCAGATGAATACGAGGGACCAACAGGCTTATACGTACCTTATTTAAAATGCTTTTTACAAATTATAGAGTTATGGAGACCCGAAAATATCTAAGTCATATTTTCCATTGAAAACATGGATGTTGGGACACCTGGGTGGCTCAGTCGGTTAAGTGTCTGCCTTCAGCTCAGGTCATGATCCCGGGGTCCTGGGATCGAGCCCCACATTGGGCTCCTGGCTCAGCGGGGAGCCTGCTTCTCCCTCTGCCTGCCACTCCCCCTGCTTGTGCTTTCTCCCCCTGCCCCCCAATAAATAAATAAATAAAATCTGAAATTAAAAAAAAAAAAGAGAAGAAAACATGGATGCTGATTTTTCTGGTGGAATTAAATGTTATTTCATGATGTGTCCAAAAAGCCTCATGACTCTGGTGGTTCTGACACAAACAATTCTGAAAACCATGGCAACTGAGGGTGTAGACACAGACTGAGGAAGGGCAGAAGCAGCCCGGAGCCTAGTATCACAGGGAGAAACCTAAGGCACGGATCAGAGGCAAGAGACAGCCAAATCCCAGGGAGTACCAGGGTCAGGTGGGAGAGGACCCAAAAGGAAAAAAAGAGCAGTAAAAACCCAGTTCCTAAGGAAAAGCGAGGGGATGAAGGAGATGATGTTGGTGAGTGATTCTAATCAAAAGCAAGAGATCAAAAAGCAGGGGCCTGAAGTATAGGAGATGAAAGAATCATAATCCTGAGGTCCGAGGTGTAGAAGAAGGGTCTTTAGTTTCAAGAAGAATAATGACCCTAAAAGGGAACTACTTGATGCTCTAAAGCTACACAGTGTGGACTTCATGTTAAGTTCTATACATCCATAGCAGAACCGCGGAATGAACTGAAAGGGCAAGGACCCTCCAAAGCAGCAGAGAGAAACAAGCTCGAAGGAAGGAGTGCAATCTTTGCAGAGAGACAGTTCTCATTTGTGTCCTTGAGTGGTAGTGGCACAAGAATACCAGAACTCTATCAGTGATCGAAACAGGTCCCTAAATCTTTTCCCCACAAGGACTTGCAAAAGAACCGGGTGGATGGGGATACACTGAGAGAAGAGAAATTGGGAGGAAGGCAATGCATCTTTCCAGGCTGGGGAGAGAAGGGGAGCTAGAACCAGCAGCTGGAAGGGAACAGGTGTACCTGGAGAAACGGCAGGGGTTCCGGTGGTAGGCTGGGGAGCCGTAGGGCTGCTGTCGTTCTGCAACTGAAGGCACAAATTAAATACTCAGACTTTGCTCCCCACCATGCTTCTTGGCCTGACCTGCCCTCCTTCCCCACATTGAGGCCATGGGACTCACCGTCTTGGTGGGTGCCTGCTGGGCGCTGTACTCTGGGTTTGGCTCACTGAAGTTAGGAACCTCAGAATAAACCATACAGAATCTGCAAGGGCAGAAATTGGCTAAAGCTTCAGACCCAGGCTCTGGGCCACTGCTGGAGGCCTCAGAAAGGTCCAGATACAAGACACAGACTGTGCACCCTTATGCTGCCTCCTTGCAAACCTTAAACTTACCCCCTTGGCCTGGTGCTTCTACGTCCCCATCCCCAAGACACTTACTCTCCAATCTTCTGAAGATCACCCCCACGTCCAGTGTATAGTGTCAGACAACCTTTGAACACTGAAGCGTACCTGTGGGGGCACAAAAAAGTAGGATTTAGAATACTCAGAAGAGTTATAAGGGCTGTTAACTCTTAACTCTACCCCCCTTGGCGGTTACTGCCCTTGGATAACCAGGAGTAACCAGGAATTACCCTTTGGTGAGCCGAATAATGTCTCCAGGCTGGATCAGGTTGCCCACGTCGTCCCAGACAGAGATATTGATGCTGCCTGTTTTGTCTGCCACTTTGCAGGTCCGAACCTCGTGCCCGTCTTTTGTCTTGGTCACTCGGCCTGGAGGGAACAGATAAATGTTGGGGCGGGTGGGAGGACGAAATGGTCAGAGGGATGAGATCTAGATACTGGTGGGGTGAGGGGGAGAGAAGGGACAGCACCATGGAGAGGGCCCTGAGTGGAAAGAGGCCCGAGTGGCGCTGGAGGCTTGGATCTGATGAGTTCCATCTACCCTACACTCGACTACAACTCTCCAGGCCAGGGTCTAGGAGAGATTGGGTGTGAACAGTTTCTTGGGCTGCGCCCTGACACCCCTGTAGCTAGTTAAGCGCGGAGGAGGTCTTCTCCCCCTCCGACCCCCTCCCCCAACCGGGAGAAGCCGCGCAGGGGGCCCACCCTCGCAGAATAGCCACCTGTCTCCAGCACAATGAAGATGAGGTTCAGATTCTTGAGCCCGGGCTTGATATCCTTCACGAAGGTCTCCGTCGTCATGCTGCCCGAGCCTCGGCACTACACTAGAAGGGGGAAAAGGGAATGAAGGCTCAAGGCTTGGAGTCTTCGCCCCCATACTCCACTTCCCAAGGCCTACCTACCACTCTAGGCTGGGGTCAGGCAGCCGCAAATCCTCTAATTCTTCTAAAAGGTTAGAAACGAACTTCCCCAGGAGCCTCCAACTTCAAGATCAGAATTTGAGGGTCTCTGGATGGGCTGCTTCGGGGCTGGAAGGCCCCGTCCCGGGATGCTCTTTCAATCTCAAGCCCCGAAGTCGGGGAGCTGACGGAGACGGGGGTAGGGAAACTGATGCAGATCCAAGGAATGGAATCCTACTCGCCGAACCTTCCCGAACCCTCATCCGGACAACCCAGGACTCGGTCCATCCCCTCCCCCACCCACAGCCCACCACCCACCCACCCAGCCAGCGGGCCGGACAGCGCACGCCGCAGAGCCGCCCGCAGGGGGAGCCACAGGCCCCGCTGCCGCCGGATGCGCCCGGTGGAACGCGGGAGTGCGGACATTCCCGGAAGTTTCCGGCTGGCCTCCTCCGACCAATCAGCACTGTCCCGACGCGCCCCGCCGCCGGCCCCCACTCAGCCAATCGGGACCCAAGATTCACGCGCCGCGAAAGGGGCGGATTTTAAGTATTAAAGGAGCCCCGCAGATGGTTGGCGCTGCGAGAAAGATTGACCGCCAGGGGGCGCCTCGGGCCCAATTTTCCTTACTTGACTGGGAGACTACACCGAGGCTCCAAGATTTCATTTCTAAGACGCGACCCTGTAAAAAGGACCAGGGGTTTTGGAAGACGGTGGACAAAAGTCTGAAACACGCTCAGCACTTCACTTATTTTCTCGACAGTTCTTAAATATGTAATTCCCTTTTGCAGACAAGAAAACGTAAGTTATATAAAAAGCAGTGCTTAGCACGCAGTAGGCACAGTTTCTTCTTTTCCCACTGCTATTACCCTTATCTTTATTCCTGATTTGGGGTCCTCATCTTTAATGCGCTACCCAGCTTCGTCAGGGTTTTGGAAAAAGTAGCCTTCACACCAGAGGCCGACTCACCCTTTTTGGAAGAATGGAACCAGGGCACAGAGGACAGCATTTGCATTAGTCTCTCTCAGAGTGTGAAAAGTCTTCCTAATGCAACTTATCTCCCTAGATCCCAGGGTCTCTCCCGCCCCCGGAGGATTTAACAGAGGAGGCCCGAAACTTTAGTTCCCCTGGGGACTTGTTAGGAACTCAACAAAAGGTTCTATCTCTGTAATGTGTATAAACCAGTTACATATATACAAACCACAACCATTTGTTTGGCGAATATCCATTACAAATACTATTTAATATCAGATTAGCCTAACAGGTCATATAATTGTAATGTCTTGACTTGATTATTTCCTTACCTTCCGGAGCGCTTTAGGCTCCGCCTTGACTTTCCTCGGATCCCAGCTTGTCTCCCGCCCACACCCCCAATTACGGTGTTGTATCCTAAGGAAATCAAAGCATAACGTAGGAGGAGGGACATTTTATCTCCCCTCCCCTTAGATGTTTCAGGGAACTCTGAAGGAGTGTCCGGAGAGCCAACGTAGGTACAGCAGGAGTGCTGCTAGGAGAGAGGCGAGCAACCCGTTGGGCACCCTAGATCAAAGCTTTGCGGGTAGACACTCCCCCATTTTCCACCCAGTGGTCGCCCTGTAGACTACAGTATCCACTCCCGTGACTATGAGTCATAGGGTCGGGAGGCTCCGGGATGCTGACCACCGCTCTGAAAACAGGAGATGGCAGGTCACACTGCAGGCCAGCCTCCTCGCAATGATCTCGCACTTCGCTGCATCAACCTAAGGAGTCGGGACTCCTACGCCCCTCTAAAGCCAAGTCTAGCCCTCGGGGGAGTCGGCCTCGGGCTCCGCCCCCTACATTCACGCTGGGAAGAACATAGAGTTCTCCCTCCCAAATGGCTATATGGTCCTAGTTGGGATCATAAAGATTTCCGGTGTAGAGAGGAAGCCCGGGTAATCGTCCTCCCTCCTCGTTGGTCGCTCTTGGCTGCTAGTCTAGATCCGAGTTAAACAAAGAGGCGGAGTTTGGTGACGAGCTTCCGCCGGGTTGCGTAGCAGCGGTGGGCGGGGCAAGGGACCCGTCTCACAAGGCGACGAGTGGTTGGAACCTTCCCTCGCCTTCCCCTTCCCCTTCCCCTCCCAGGATAGGCTGGGACCCGGCACCGGAGCTATCCCGTGGCCGCTGCGGCCTCAGCTCCAGCCGGGCCGGGGTACGGAGAGTCCAGACCGCTTCCAGGGCGGTGCGTACTGCGCCTGCGCCGACTCCCACCTAAAAATGGGTGTGGGACGGGAGGGCCGATGTCCCATGGGGATTGGGGCGGGGGTTCAAGATATTGGAGGTCAGGAGAAGAGATAGGAGTAAAGATGAAAAATGGAGGAAGGGAGCAGGAATAGGGAGGGGTCCGGAGGTGAGAAAGGGGCGCTGGAAGGTGGGTTGTTGGGGAGGTGCGTTGGAGTAGGGGAGTCTTAAGTGCGGGAGGGGGTCTGGGCTGACTGGAGGACAGGGAGGAGGGGACCTGGGGCTACAACGTGGTGTTTAAATGGGCAGTGACGACGGGCTGGGAGGGGAGGGAGGGAACGTTCTGGGGGCTAGCCTGGGCAGGGGCGGCGGAATCCGAACCCCCGCCCTCGAAGCGCCATAGCTTGGCTCCTCTCCCGTGCCTTGTCTTTGGCAGCCTTGTCTTCCTCCTCCATTCCTTTCCCCCCCTCCCCCTCTCACCCCTCCTTGAAGGAATCTCACATTCCTTACATCCCTTCCTTGGCGTTGCAGCCGGGCCCTTTCGCAGCCTTCACACACCGGAAAGCCTTCCCCAACCCAGAACTCTGCGAAATTGGGGAATGGGGAGGAGGGGGCTGGAGAAGGAGCAGAAAGCTGAGAGAGGTGAGAGTGTTTTGCCCGGGGGACTGACAGACATCTTCCCCGTTCAGAAACTGACTTCATTCTCCGTAATAGCATCTGTGGCTGTTGAAGGAGCCACTGTTCATGGGGACTGGGCTGTGATAGTGATAGTTTAACCACTTCCTAAACAGGTGGTTTTAGAGTCTGACAGTAGGGCAAGAAGCTGATAGGGTTGCTGGTTGGTAGTTTTCCCCCAGATGGGAATGGGGTAGACTAGTGGTAGGGAATCTGAGTGATGTGATAATGTTACTACTCTGTGTGTCCACCTGACTGTGTCTGGGCCTGGTTCCTAGTAATCGAAAAGGAACAAGCTCCTTTCAAGCATCTCCTCACTAGCCTTCAGTACTCTTAATTTATTTTGCATTTTATTACTACAAATATCTTACCTGAAACATAGCTGTATTCAGTATGTTTTCACATTTATTATGTTTTTGACTTTCCAGGGCAACATAAAAGATAGATAGAGGCAGGTATCTTCCCTACTTGTCAGGTGAAGACATTGAAAACTGCAGAAGAGATACATGGCTTGTTTAAAGTCCTACAGTTGGCAGAGCTGGGACCAGAACCCAAGTCTCCTGACTCCTGGTCCTCCTCTCAGTTGAAAAATCCTGTTTTCTTCTGGCTAAGGGAACATCCCAGCATGGGCAAGATTCTGAGTCTGGAGCTTGTCACTAGAAGACTGAGCATAACCAGCAACAGTGGTTCCTGGAAGCATTTCATGAAATACAGGTGCATATGCCAGGCTGTTGGGAAATAGGGTGTTGTCAAAATGGAAACAGCATTATACTCTCCTCTGTGTTATGGATGAGGGAGAAACAACTTCCTCGCTACCCTCCAAAGAGAAAGTGTGTCTGACATTGCACCTTTATCTCTCTGGTTAGTTTAATAATATTACACTAAACGTGTTGTGGCTGATGAGCATAGGAAACTGATGAGCATGTGTACCAGACTCAGAAGATGAAATGGTCTCAGTTTTATGTGTAAAAATTATCCTCATCATATTGCTTTGTAACACAGCCCTTAATCTGTTGATAGCCATGTGATAGGGAGGAAACGAGTTTGAATAGTTAATGTTCTCCTGTGTAGTATTGAGTAGATCCCACAGCACCCTTCATCTGAAGCCTTGTCCCCCTTTACTTGGTCCCATTCTTCTAGTCATGATAGTCTAGTCAGCCTAATCATACCTCTAGTCTTCCCAGTCGCCCACTCGGGAGTGATTTCCCATTTCACTGCCCACGCCGCCGCCTCCTCCTTTTCTTCTTCTTTTTCTTCTTCTTTTTGTAAAGGCTGATTCCCTCAGGAATATTTTCTGACTTGGGAAGTAGAATCACACCTGTACGAATTCTTGAGTATCTTCTCCTTATGAAGATATTTTCCAGTTGGAGGGTAGGATTAGAATTCTTTTTACATGACTTCAGTAATTTATGTGAAAGCCTTTGGGAAACATCAAAGCATCGTACCGTGCATGTAAGCTAGCACTGATCTGTGCATCGTGTGGCCACAGATCTGGACTCATTGACATTGCTTGTGGTTGTGTGCACTGAATAAGAGAATCTTTTTCTGCCTCACACGGCTGTTCTTCTTTACCTTTTTCCTTGTTCCTTTCTCTGCCTCTCTCAGCTGTGTTTGAATCTCCTGGACTGTGTGTGTATGTGATTCCTTAGCCAGTGATCTCGATCTTTAGAAGGCAGTCCTGTGGCCCTAGCCCTGAAACCTGTTGCCCTTAATGGAATCACCTCATCCTCCCCAACCAGCCGCCAGATCCAAGTCTGTCTAGTCTCCCTGCCAGGTGGAGGTAGTTCCCCTGACTCACCCTTTTCTTCCTTGTTCCTATTAATAGAGTGCTCCTGATTGTGACATCACATCCATCCCCTTGGCGATGGAGCTTGTCACTAGGAAGGAAGACTCAGTCGGACAATAGCCAACAAGATGGGTTACTGGGAGCGTCTCCTGAGTGGCACTGAGTGGAGGCCTCAGGGGGTTGGAGCCTTGTGAACAGGGAACCTACCCCCCAACACTTGGAAGGTAAAGAGCCTTGATTCAGAATCCCATTCCAGGCTTCAGGTCTCTTCTCAGCCTATCTGGATTCCCTCTGCTTTTGAAAACCTGATTCTTAAGATTCTTCTGCATAAAGCTTTCTGTGATTAACCCACATCAGTCTGTTCTGTGCATATTTATGTCTGACAGTAACTATTAACTTTTACTTGTTGGTAAATTGCTCAGTCAATTTTATGTTTTTTTATGTGTTTTATGTCTTGTATACTCATTGGGCTCAAGCCTACACCTTAGTTTGAGGACAAGGATTGTGTTTTCTATATCTTTTACACATCTCTGCTGGCAAAGGGGCTGTGCGTAGACAATGAAGTTGAGGTTTGGGGCATCCACACAAATAGTGCTTGCAGTTGGTGACTAAGTGGGAGGTCCTTGCTGGCCTTTAGGCCTGATAGGCCTCACTTCAAGTGTTAAATGAGTTCTTGAGGAATTGTGTGCCCTTTGATTCTTTTGTAAATTGAACCAATTAAAATGTACTAAATAATTTAATTTAACTTTAAAAATTTTGTTTATTTATTTTTTATGAGAGAGAGCATGAGCCAGCGGGGAGGGGCAGAGGGAGAGAGAGAGAATCCTAAGCAGGCTCCATGCAAAGCTCAGTACAGAGCCGGATGTGGGGCTTAATCCCATGACCATGAGATCATGACCTGAGTTGAAACCAAGAGTCAGACACGTAACCAACTGAGCCACCCAGATGCCCCCTAAAGAATTTTAATTTTAGGGGCGCCTGGGTGGCTCAGTCGTTAAGCGTCTGCCTTCGGCTCAGGTCATGATCCCAGGGTCCTGGGATCGAGCCCCGCATCGGGCTCTCTGCTCCGTGGGAAGCCTGCTTTTCCTTCCCCCACTCCCCCTGCTTGTGTTCCCTCTCTCGCTGTGTCTCTTTCTGTCAAATAAATAAATAAAAATCTTAAAAATAAATAAATAAAATAAAGATTATATTTTTAAGTAATCTCTGAACCAAGCACCCCTAATTTTTTTTTTTTTAAGATTTTATTTATTTAGGGGCACTTGAGTGGCTCAGATAGTTAAGTATCTGCCTTCGGCTCAGGTCATGATCTCAGGGTCCTGGGCTTGAGCCCCATGTTAGGCTCCTTGCTCAGTGGGGAGTCTGCTTCTCCCTCTCCCTCTGCCCCTCACTCATGCTTGCTCTCGCTCTCTCTCTCAAATAAATAAATAAAATCTTAAAAAAAAAAGATTTTATTTATTTGAGAAAGAGAGACTCAGTCTGGGCGGGGTGGGGGGGAAGGAGCAGAGGGTGGGGGACAAGCAGATTCTGCACTGAGTGCAGAGCCTGATGCAGGGCTCGATCCCATGACCCAGAGATCATGACCTGAGCCAAAATCAAGAGTCGGATGCCTAACCAACTGAGCCACCCAGGTGCCCCTAGGCACCCCTAATTTTTAGTTTTTAAATTGTTCTTGGGTGTCTGGGTGGTTCAGTTGGTTAAGCATCTGCCTTCAGCTCAGGTCATGATCCCAGGGTCCTGGGATCGAGCCCCATGTTGGGCTCCCTGCTCAGCTGGGAGTCTGTTCCTCCCTCTCCCTCTCCCCCTGCCCCCCCCACTCATGTGCATGTTCTCTCCCACTCTCTCAAATAAATAAATCTTTAAAAAAATTGTTCTTATTAAAATGGAACCATACTATTCATACAAAATGCATTTTGCAACTTGCATTTTTTCAAATTGAGAGGCAGTTTAGCATGGGGGTTAAAAGCTTGGGCTCTGCAGCCAGTCTGCCTGGGTTTGAATCTGGCTCCACTACTTGTGAGCTGTATGATTTTAGATAAGCTTTTTAACCTTTGTGCATCTGTTACTCATCTGTAGAATGTGGATAATGACAGTACTGACCTAATAGAGTAACTTAAAGAGTTGTAAGAATTAGATGAGTTAATATACAAGAAATGCTTAGAATATTGTCTAGCATATAGAAATGCTCTATAAATGTTGACTTCATTGTTATTAGTTTTTACTTCATTATTATTATTTTTTTTAAGATTTTATTTATTTAAGAGAGAGAGAGAATGAGAGAGAGAGAGCACAAGAAGGGGGAGGGTCAGAGAGAGAAGCAGACTCCTTGCTGAGCAGGGAGCCCGATGGGGGACTCGATCCTGGGACTCCAGGATTCATGATCTGAGTCGCTTAACCAACTGAGCCACCCAGGTGCCCTCATTATTATTTAACTGTATAACTAAAACATGATCATTATAGAAAAAGTAGGAAAAAACAATAAAGCAAAACTGTGAGTGAAGTTAAAAGTATTAGAAGGAGGAGCGCCTGGCTGGCTCAGTTGGTGGAGCATGTGACTTTTGATCTTGGGTTTGTGAGTTCCAGTCCCACATTGGGTGTAGAGATTACTTAAAAATAAAAGTTTAGGGGCACTTGGGTGGCTCAGTCGTTAAGCATCTGCCTTCGGCTCAGGTCATGATCCCAGGGTCCTGGGATCGAGCCCCGCATCGGGCTCCCTGCTCTGCGGGAAGCCTGCTTCTCCCTCTCCCACTCCCCCTGCTTGTGTTCCCTCTCTCGCTGTGTCTCTGTCTGTCAAATAAATAAAACAAATCCCTAAAAAAAAAAAAACTTAAAAAAAGTACTAGAAATAATACTTAGAAACAGCTTCTCTATATCCTTCTAGAAGCTCTTTAATATAAATGTATACACAAATGCTTTATTTTTTTAAAAGATTTTATTTATTTGTCAGAGAGAAAGTACACAAGCAGGGCGAGCGGCAGGCAGAGGGAGAAGCAGTCTTCCCGCCGAGCAAGGAGCCTGATGGGTGACTTGATCCCAGGACCCCGGGATCATGACCTGAGCCGAAGGCAGACATTTAACTGGCTGAGCCACCCAGGCATCCCATAAAATACACTTTTTTAACAAAAATAGCAGTATAGTGTATATAATATGTATAAATGTCTTTTTATTATATAAATGTTAAGTGTACTTAAATAAGTAACTTAAATTATTAATAAGAAACAAATATATCTAAGTCATATTAATGTCTCCTGGTATTGCATTTTTGGATGAAAGGAATTCTGGATATTTGTGGTGTTTCTAGTTTTTTTGCTATTATGAACAACATTTAGATAAACAACTTAGTATATTGTTTTTACACTCTCGTGTAGTTATTTCCTTAGGCTAAGTTCCTGGAAGTAGGATTTCTAGATAAAGGGTATATATTTTGGGGGGATTTACTGTTTAGTTTTGTTTTTCTTATTGTTGTTCTTTTTTTAAAAAGATTTATTTGAGAGAGCAAGAGAGCACAAGTGGGGGGAGGGGCAGAGGGAGAAGGAGAAGCCGACTTCCTGCTGAGCACGGAGCCTGACATGGGGCTGGATCTCAGGACCCTGGGATCATGACATGAGCCGAAAGCAGACACTTAACTGACTGAGCCACCCAGGTACCCCATTGTTGTTCTTTGTAAAACATTTTTTTATTAGTGAAGTATAGTTGGTTATGTTTTCAGATGTATAACATAGTGATTTGACAATTCTATAGGTTTTTTACTCAGTGCTCACCACGGTACACCATGCAACATTATTACAGTATTGTTGACAATATTCCCTAATCTGTACTTATATCCCCATAACTTATTTACTTTATAACTGGAAGTCTGTGACTTACTTTGTAACCAGAAGTTTGTACCTTTTAATCCCCTTTGCCTATTTTACCCATCCTCAATGGCCCCCCCGCCCCCCGCCATTTACTGTTTCTTTTTTTTTTTTTAAAGATTTTATTTATTTATTTGAGAGAGAGAGAATGAGAGATAGAGAGCACGAGAGGGAAGAGGGTCAGAGGGAGAAGCAGACTCCCTGCTGAGCAGGGAGCCCGATGTGGGACTCGATCCCGGGACTCCAGGATCATGACCTGAGCTGAAGGCAGTCGCTTAACCAACTGAGCCACCCAGGCACCCAGAAGTTATTTTTTTAAGAGAAGGAGTGACTTCAGTCTAAGGACTCTACTGCTTAAATAAAAAGACCATTTCTTTTCTTTATTTTTCTTAAAGATTTTATTTCTTTAACAGAGAGAGAGAGAGCAAGCACAAGCAGGGGGAGTGGCAGAGGGAGAGGGAGAGAAGGCTCCCTGCTGAGCTGGAAGCCCAGTGCAGGGCTTGATCCCAGGCCCAGACCTGAGCCAAAGGCAGACGCTTAACCGACTGAGCCACCCACCCAGGTGCCCCAAGACCACTTCCTTTCACTTAAAAACTCAAGAGAGTTGCCTAAAGAGAGCAAGGTCAGTTAGTGGCAAAGCCAGGGCACCTTCTATAACATAATTACCCCCTAATTTAGCTATTTTTGTTTTATATGCTCAATTTCAGAATCCTGCAACTTGTAGAGTACCTCAGAACATATGTAGTCCAGAATACTTCATTTCTTATGTGGTAAGGGAACTGAGGCCCAGAGCAGTTAGGTCACTTGCCCAAGGTCACACATTTGGTCGGTAATAGAGCTAGAACTGGGTCTCAAGTTTCTGGATTCCCAACTATGTTTTCTTTTTTTCCATACCTATTCCTTCACTGGGAGATTTGTAATGAAATGTGAGACCCTTCACCAGTTAATTGCTTCACTATGTTGAAATTCCTAGAAGTCACCTGTTTCCTTACATTGGAGCAGGTTATAGGACTGAGCCCTGCATCAGGTTCCCTGCCCAGCGGGGAGTCTGCTTCTCCCTCTGCCTCTGCCCCTTCCCCCACTCATACTCTCTCTCTTTCTTTCTTTCTTTTTTTTTTTCAAGATTTTATTTATTTATTTGACAGAGACACAGCAAGAGAGGGAACACAAGCAGGGGGAGTGGGAGAGGGAGAAGCGAAGCAGGCTTTCCTCTGAGTAGGGAGCCCCATGTGGGGCTCGATTCCAGGACTCTGGGATCGTGACCTAAGCCGAAGGCAGACGCTTAACGACTGAGCCACCCAGGCACCCCAATACTCTCTCTTTCTCACTGTCTCTCTCAAATAAATAAAATCTTTAAAATTTAAAAAGAGAGA